AGGATTAAATACAGGGATTTCGATGAAAATAAGCGATATTTGAGGCGAAAATACAGGGATTTCTATGAAAGTAAGGGATGTTTTCGGGTTCAACACTGGGATTTCCATGAAAATAAGCAATATTTAAGGGGAAAAAACAGGGATTTCTATGAAAATATGCGAATATTTTAGGGGAAAAACAGGGATTTCTATGAAAATAAGCAATATTTTAGGAGAAAAAGAGGGATTTCGATGAAAATAAGCGATATTTCAGACGAAAAACAGGGATTTTGATGAAAATAAGCGATATATTAGGGTTCAAAATAGGGATTTCTATGAAAATAAGCCATATTTCAGACGAAAAACAGGGATTTCTATGAAAATAAGCGATATATCAGGGTTCAAAACAGGGATTTCTATGAAAATAAGCGATATTTCCGGGGAAAAAACAGGGATTTCTATGAAAATCAGAGATATTTCAGGGGAAAAACAGGGATTTCTAGGAAAATAAGCGATATGTCAGGGGAAAAACAGGGATTTCGATGAAAATAAGCGATATTGTTGGGGAAAAACAGGGATTTCTATGAAAATAAGCGATATTTCAGGGGAAAAACAGGGATTTCGGTGAAAATAAGCGATATTTCAGGGGAAAAACAGGGATTTCTATGAAAATAAGCGATATTTTAGGTTAAAAACAGGGATTTCTATGAAAATCAGAGATATTTCAGGGGAAAAACAGGGATTTCGATGAAAATAAGCGATATTTAAGGGAAAAAAAAGGGAATTCGGTGAAAATAAGTGAAATTTCAGGGGAGAAACAGGGATTTCTATGAAAATAAGCAATATTTGAGGGTTAAATACAGGGATTTCTATGAAAATAAGGGATATTTTCGGGTTCAAAACTGGGATTTGCATGAAAATAAGCAATATTTAATGGGAAAAACAGGGATTTCGATGAAAATAAGCGATATTTCAGGGGAAAAAAAAGGAATGTCGATGAAAATAAGCAATATTTTAGGGGAAAAAGAGGGATTTCTATGAAAATAAGCGATATTTCAGACGAAAAACAGGAATTTCTATGAAAATAAGCGATATTTTAGGGTACAAAATAGGGATTTCTATGAAAACAAGCGATATTTAAGGGGAAAAACAGGGATTTCCATGAAAACAAGCAATATTTAAGGGGAAAAACAGGGATTTCTATGAAAATAAGCGATATTTCCGGGGAAAAACTGGGATTTCTATGAAAATATGCAATATTTTAGGGGAAAAACAGGGATTTCTATGAAAATAAGCGATATATTAGGGTTCAAAATAGGGATTTCGATAAAAATAAGCAATATTTCAGACGAAAAACAGGGATTTCGATGAAAATAAGCGATATATTAGGGTTCAAAACAGGGATTTCTATGAAAATAAGCGATATTTCCGGGGAATAAACAGGGATTTCTATGAAAATCAGAGATATTTCAGACGAAAAACAGGGATTTCTAGGAAAAATAAGCGATATATCAGGGGTCAAAACAGGGATTTCTATGAAAATAAGCGATATTTCAGGGGAAAAACAGGGATTTCGATGAAAATAAGCGATATTTCAGGGGAAAAACAGGGAATTCGGTGAAAATAAGCGATATTTAGGGGAAAAACAGGGATTTCTATGAAAATAAGCGATATTTCAGGGGAAAAACAGGGATTTCTATGGAATGAAGCGATATTTCAGGGGAAAAACAGGGATTTCTATGAAAATAAGTGATATTTCAGACGAAAACCCGGGATTTCTATGAAAATAAGTGATATATCAGGGGAAAAACAGGGATTTCGATGAAAATAAGCGATATTTCAGGGGAAAAACAGGGATTTCTATGAAAATAAGCGATATTTCAGGGGAAAAACAGGGATTTCTATGAAAATAAGCGACATTTAAGGGGAAAAACAGGGATTTCTAGGAAAGAAGCGATATTTCAGGGGAAAAACAGGGATTTCTATGAAAATAAGTGATATTTTAGGGGAAAAACAGGGATTTCTATGAAAATAAGCAATATTTCAGGGGAAAAACAGGGATTTCGATGAAAATAAGCGATATTTAATGGAAAAAAAAAAGGGAATTCGGTGAAAATAAGCAATATTTCAGGGGAAAAACAGGGATTTCTATGAAAATAAGCGATATTTTAGGGTTCAAAACTGGGATTTCCATGAAAATAAGCAATATATAATGGGAAAAACAGGGATTTCTATGAAAATAAGCGATATATCAGGGTTCAAAACAGGGATTTCTATGAAAATAAGCGATATTTCAGGGGAAAAAAAAGGAATGTCGATGAAAATAAGCAATATTTTAGGGGAAAAAGAGGGATTTCTATGAAAATAAGCGATATTTCAGGGGAAAAACAGGGATTTCTATGAAAATAAGCGATATTTTATCGGGTTCAAAATAGGGATTTCTATGAAAATAAGCGATATATCAGGGTTCAAAACAGGGATTTCTATGAAAATAAGCGATATTTCAGGGGAAAAACAGGGATTTCTATGAAAATAAGCGATATTTTAGGTTAAAAACAGGGATTTCTATGAAAATAAGCGATATTTTAGGGGAAAAACAGGGATTTCGATGAAAATAAGCGATATTTCAGGGGAAAAACAGGGATTTCTATGAAAATCAGAGATATTTCAGGGGAAAAACAGGGATTTCTATGAAAATAAGCGATATTTAAGGGAAAAACAGGGATTTCTAGGAAAATAAGCGATATTTAAGGGAAAAACAGGGATTTCTATGAAAATAAGCGATATTGTAGGGGAAAAACGGGGATTTCTAGGAAAGAAGCGATATTTCAGGGGAAAAACAGGGATTTCTATGAAAATAAGCGATATTTCAGGGGAAAAACCAGGGATTTCTATGAAAATAAGCGATATTGTAGGGGAAAAACAGGGATTTCTATGAAAATAAGCAATATTTAAGGGGAAAAACAGGGATTTCTATGAAAATAAGATATTTCACGGGAAAAACAGGGATTTCTATGAAAATAAGCTGATATTTTAGGGTAAAAAAAAGGGATTTCTATGAAAATAAGCGATATTTCAGGGGAGAAACAGGGATTTCTATGAAAATAAGCGATATTTCAGGGGAAAAACAGGGATTTCTATGAAAATAAGTGATATTTCAGGGGAAAAACAGGGATTTCTATGAAAATAAGCGATATTTCAGGGGAAAAACATGGATTTCGATGAAAATAAGCGATATTTCAGGGGAAAAACATGGGATTTCTATGAAAATAAGCGATATTTCAGTGGAAAAACAGGGATTTCTATGAAAATAAGCGATATTTTAGGGTAAAAAAAAGGGATTTCTATGAAAATAAGCGATATTTCAGACGAAAAACAGGGATTTCAAGGAAAATAAGCAATATTTTAGGGGAAAAACAGGGATTTCTATGAAAATAAGCGATATTTAAGGTTAAAAACGGATTTCTATGAAAATCAGAGATATTTAAGGGGAAAAACAGGGATTTCGATGAAAATAATCGATATTTCAGAGAAAAAACAGGGAATTCGGTGAAAATAAGTGAAATTTCAGGGGAGAAACTGGGATTTCTATGAAAATAAGCAATATTTGAGGGTTAAATACAGGGATTTCTATGAAAATAAGGGATATTTAAGGGGAAAAACAGGGATTTCGATGAAAATAAGCGATATATCAGGGTTCAAAACAGGGATTTCTATGAAAATAAGCGATATATCAGGGTTCAAAACAGGGATTTCTATGAAAATAAGCGATATTTCAGGGGAAAAACAGGGATTTCGATGAAAATAAGCGATATTATCGGGTTCAAAATAGGGATTTCTATGAAAATAAGCGATATATCAGGGGTCAAAACAGGGATTTCTATGAAAATAAGCGATATTTCAGGGGAAAAACAGGGATTTCTATGAAAATAAGCGATATATCAGGGTTCAAAACCGGGATTTCTATGAAAATAAGCGATATTTTAGGGTTCAAATGAGGGATTTCTATGAAAATAAGCGATATTTCAGGGGAAAAACAGGGATTTCGATGAAAATAAGCGATATTTTAGGGGAAAAACAGGGATTTCTAGGAAAGAAGCGATATTTCAGGGGAAAAACAGGGATTTCTATGAAAATCAGAGATATTTCAGGGTTAAAAACAGGGATTTCTATGAAAATAAGGGACATTTCAGGGGAAAAACAGGGATTTCTAGGAAAATAAGCGATATTTAAGGGTAAAAAACAGGGATTTCGATGAAAATAAGCGATATTGTAGGGGAAAAACAGGGATTTCTATGAAAATATGCAATATTTTAGGGGAAAAACAGGGATTTCTATGAAAATAAGCGATATTTTAGGGTAAAAAACAGGGATTTCTAGGAAAATAAGCGATATTTAAGGTTAAAAATAGGGATTTCTATGAAAATAAGCAATATTTAAGGGGAAAAACAGGGATTTCTAGGAAAATAAGCGATATTTCAGGGGAAAAAAAAGGAATGTCGATGAAAATAAGCAATATTTTAGGAGAAAAAAAAGGGATTTCTATGAAAATAAGCGATATTTCAGACGAAAAACAGGAATTTCGATGAAAATAAGCGATATTTTAGGGTACAAAATAGGGATTTCTATGAAAATAAGCGATATTTCAGGGGTTCAAAATAGGGATTTCTATGAAAATAAGCGATATATCAGGGTTCAAAACAGGGATTTCTATGAAAATAAGCGATATTTCAGGGGAAAAACAGGGATTTCTATGAAAATAAGCGATATTTATGGTTAAAAACAGGGATTTCGATGAAAATAAGCGATATTTTAGGGGAAAAACAGGGATTTCTATGAAAATAAGCGATATTTCTGGGGAAAAACAGGGATTTCTATGAAAATCAGAGATATTTCAGGGGAAAAACAGGGATTTCGATGAAAATAAGCGATATTTAAGGGAAAAACAGGGATTTCTATGAAAATAAGCGATATGTCAGGGGAAAAACAGGGATTTCTATGAAAATAAGCGATATTGTAGGGGAAAAACAGGGATTTCTATGAAAATAAGCAATATTTAAGGGGAAAAACAGGGATTTCGGTGAAAATCAGAGATATTTCACGGGAAAAACAGGGATTTCTATGAAAATAAGTGATATTTTAGGGTAAAAAAAAGGGATTTCTATGAAAATAAGCGATATTTAAGGTTAAAAACAGGGATTTCTATGAAAATAAGCGATATTTCAGGGGAAAAACAGGGATCTCTATGAAAATAAGTGATATTTCAGGGGAAAAACAGGGATTTCTATGAAAATAAGCGATATTTCAGGGGAAAAACATGGATTTCGGTGAAAATAAGCGATATTTCAGGGGAAAAACATGGATTTCTATGAAAATAAGCGATATTTCAGTGGAAAAACAGGGATTTCTATGAAAATAAGCGATATTTTAGGGTAAAAAAAAGAGATTTCTATGAAAATAAGCGATATTTAAGGTTAAAAACAGGGATTTCAAGGAAAATAAGCAATATTTCAGGGGAAAAACAGGGATTTCTATGAAAATAAGCGATATTTAAGGTTAAAAACGGATTTCTATGAAAATCAGAGATATTTAAGGGGAAAAACAGGGATTCGATGAAAATAAGCGATATTTCAGAGAAAAAACAGGGAATTCGGTGAAAATAAGTGAAATTTCAGGGGAGAAACTGGGATTTCTATGAAAATAAGCAATATTTGAGGGTTAAATACAGGGATTTCTATGAAAATAAGGGATATTTAAGGGGAAAAACAGGGATTTGTATGAAAATAAGTGATATTTCAGGGGAAAAACAGGGATTTCGATGAAAATAAGCGATATATCAGGGTTCAAAACAGGGATTTCTATGAAAATAAGCGATATTTCAGGGGAAAAACAGGGATTTGTATGAAAATAAGCGATATTATCGGGTTCAAAATAGGGATTTCTATGAAAATAAGCGATATATCAGGGGTCAAAACAGGGATTTCTATGAAAATAAGCGATATTTCAGGGGAAAAACAGGGATTTCTATGAAAATAAGCGATATATCAGGGTTCAAAACAGGGATTTCTATGAAAATAAGCGATATTTATGGTTAAAAACTGGGATTTCTATGAAAATAAGCGATATTTCAGGGGAAAAACAGGGATTTCGATGAAAATAAGCGATATTTCAAGGGAAAAACAGGGATTTCTAGGAAAGAAGCGATATTTCCGGGGAAAAAAGAGGGATTTCTATGAAAATCAGAGATATTTCAGGGTTAAAAACAGGGATTTCTATGAAAATAAGGGACATTTCAGGGGAAAAACAGGGATTTCTGGGAAAATAAGCGATATTTAAGGGTAAAAAACAGGGATTTCGATGAAAATAAGCGATATTGTAGGGGAAAAACAGGGATTTCTATGAAAATATGCAATATTTTAGGGGAAAAACAGGGATTTCTATGAAAATAAGCGATATTTTAGGGTAAAAAACAGGGATTTCTAGGAAAATAAGCGATATTTAAGGTTAAAAACAGGGATTTCTATGAAAATAAGCAATATTTAAGGGGAAAAACAGGGATTTCTAGGAAAATAAGCAATATTCCAGGGGAAAAAAAAGGAATGTCGATGAAAATAAGCAATATTTTAGGAGAAAAAAAGGGATTTCTATGAAAATAAGCGATATTTCAGACGAAAAACAGGAATTTCGATGAAAATAAGCGATATTTAAGGGTTCAAAATAGGGATTTCTATGAAAATAAGCGATATTTAAGGGTTCAAAAAAAAGAGATTTCTATGAAAATAAGCGATATATTAGGGTTCAAAATAGGGATTTAGATAAAAATAAGCGATATTTCAGGGGAAAAACAGGGATTTCGATGAAAATAAGCGATATTGTAGGGTTCAAAACAGGGATTTCTATGAAAATAAGCGATATTTCCGGGGAAAAAACAGGGATTTCTATGAAAATCAGAGATATTTCAGGGGAAAAACAGGGATTTCTATGAAAATAAGCGATATTTCAGGGGAAAAACAGGGATTTCTATGAAAATAAGCGATATTTCAGGGGAAAAACAGGGATTTCTATGAAAATAAGCGATATTTTAGGGTAAAAAAAAGAGATTTCTATGAAAATAAGCGATATTTCAGGGTTAAAAACAGGGATTTCTATGAAAATAAGGGATATTTTAAGGTTAAAAACAGGGATTTCTATGAAAATAAGCGATATTTAAGGTTAAAAACAGGGATTTCTATGAAAATCAGAGATATTTCAGGGGAAAAACAGGGATTTCGATGAAAATAAGCGATATTTAAGGGAAAAAAAAGGGAATTCGGTGAAAATAAGTGAAATTTCAGGGGAGAAACAGGGATTTCTATGAAAATAAGCAATATTTGAGGGTTAAATACAGGGATTTCTATGAAAATAAGGGATATTTTCAGGTTCAAAACTGGGATTTCTATGAAAATAAGCTATATTTCAGGGGAAAAACAGGGATTTCGATGAAAATAAGCGATATTTCAGGGGAAAAAAAAGGAATGTCGATGAAAATAAGCAATATTTTAGGGGAAAAAGAGGGATTTCTATGAAAATAAGCGATATTTCAGACGAAAAACAGGGATTTCTATGAAAAAAAGCGATATTTTATGGTTCAAAATAGGGATTTCTATGAAAATAAGCGATACTGTAGGGGAAAAACAGGGATTTCTATGAAAATCAAAGATATTTCAGGGGAAAAACAGGGATTTCTAGGAAAATAAGCGATATTTCCGGGGAAAAACTGGGATTTCTATGAAAATAAGCGATATTGTAGGGGAAAAACAGGGATTTCTATGAAAATAAGCGATATATTAGGGTTCAAAATACGGATTTCGATAAAAATAAGCAATATTTCAGACGAAAAACAGGGATTTCGATGAAAATAAGCGATATATTAGGGTTCAAAACAGGGATTTCTATGAAAATAAGCGATATATCAGGGGAAAAAACAGGGATTTCTATGAAAATTAAAGATATTTCAGGGGAAAAACAGGGATTTCTAGGAAAAATAAGCGATATATCAGGGGTCAAAACAGGGATTTCTATGAAAATCAGAGATATTTTAGGGGAAAAACAGGGATTTCTATGAAAATAAGCAATATTTCAGACGAAAAACAGGGAATTCGGTGAAAATAAGCGATATGTCAGGGGAAAAACAGGGATTTCTATGAAAATAAGCGATATTGTAGGGGAAAAACAGGGATTTCTAGGAATGAAGCGATATTTCAGGGGAAAAACAGGGATTTCTATGAAAATAAGTGATATTTCAGACGAAAACCCGGGATTTCTATGAAAATAAGTGATATATCAGGGGAAAAAAGAGGGATTTCTAGGAAAATAAGCGATATTTCAGGGGAAAAACAGAGATTTCTATGAAAATAAGCGACATTTAAGGGGAAAAACAGGGATTTCTAGGAAAGAAGCGATATTTCAGGGGAAAAACAGGGATTTCTATGAAAATAAGTGATATTTTAGGGTAAAAAACAGGGATTTCTATGAAAATAAGCAATATTTCAGGGGAAAAACAGGGATTTCTATGAAAATAAGCGATATTTAATGGAAAAAAAAAAGGGAATTCGGTGGAAATAAGTGAAATTTCAGGGGAGAAACAGGGATTTTAATGAAAATAAGCAATATTTGAGGGTTAAATACAGGGATTTCTATGAAAATAAGGGATATTTTCGGGTTCAAAACTGGGATTTCCATGAAAATAAGCAATATATAATGGGAAAAACAGGGATTTCTATGAAAATAAGCGATATATCAGGGTTCAAAACAGGGATTTCTATGAAAATAAGCGATATTTCAGGGGAAAAACAGGGATTTCTATGAAAATAAGCGATATTTATGGTTAAAAACAGGGATTTCGGTGAAAATAAGCGATATTTCAGACGAAAAACAGGGATTTCTATGAAAATAAGCGATATTTCTGGGGAAAAACAGGGATTTCTATGAAAATCAGAGATATTTCAGGGGAAAAACAGGGATTTCGATGAAAATAAGCGATATTTAAGGGAAAAACAGGGAATTCGGTGAAAATAAGCGATATGTCAGGGGAAAAACAGGGATTTCTATGAAAATAAGCGATATTGTAGGGGAAAAACAGGGATTCCATGAAAATAAGCAATATTTAAGGGGAAAAACAGGGATTTCGGTGAAAATCAGAGATATTTCACGGGAAAAACAGGGATTTCTATGAAAATAAGTGATATTTTAGGGTAAAAAAAAGGGATTTCTAGGAAAATAAGCGATATTTAAGGTTAAAAACAGGGATTACTATGAAAATAAGCGATATTTCAGGGGAAAAACAGGGATCTCTATGAAAATAAGTGATATTTCAGGGGAAAAACAGGGATTTCTATGAAAATAAGCGATATTTCAGGGGAAAAACATGGATTTCGGTGAAAATAAGCGATATTTCAGGGGAAAAACATGGATTTCTATGAAAATAAGCGATATTTCAGTGGAAAAACAGGGATTTCTATGAAAATAAGCGATATTTTAGGGTAAAAAAAAGAGATTTCTATGAAAATAAGCGATATTTAAGGTTAAAAACAGGGATTTCAAGGAAAATAAGCAATATTTCAGGGGAAAAACAGGGATTTCTATGAAAATAAGCGATATTTAAGGTTAAAAACGGATTTCTATGAAAATCAGAGATATTTAAGGGGAAAAACAGGGATTCGATGAAAATAATCGATATTTCAGAGAAAAAACAGGGAATTCGGTGAAAATAAGTGAAATTTCAGGGGAGAAACTGGGATTTCTTTGAAAATAAGCAATATTTGAGGGTTAAATACAGGGATTTCTATGAAAATAAGGGATATTTAAGGGGAAAAACAGGGATTTGTATGAAAATAAGTGATATTTCAGGGGAAAAACAGGGATTTCGATGAAAATAAGCGATATATCAGGGTTCAAAACAGGGGTTTCTATGAAAATAAGCGATATTTCAGGGGAAAAACAGGGATTTGTATGAAAATAAGCGATATTATCGGGTTCAAAATAGGGATTTCTATGAAAATAAGCGATATATCAGGGGTCAAAACAGGGATTTCTATGAAAATAAGCGATATTTCAGGGGAAAAACAGGGATTTCGATGAAAATAAGCGATATATCAGGGTTCAAAACAGGGATTTCTATGAAAATAAGCGATATTTATGGTTAAAAACTGGGATTTCTATGAAAATAAGCGATATTTCAGGGGAAAAACAGGGATTTCGATGAAAATAAGCGATATTTCAAGGGAAAAACAGGGATTTCTAGGAAAGAAGCGATATTTCCGGGGAAAAAAGAGGGATTTCTATGAAAATCAGAGATATTTCAGGGTTAAAAACAGGGATTTCTATGAAAATAAGGGACATTTCAGGGGAAAAACAGGGATTTCTGGGAAAATAAGCGATATTTAAGGGTAAAAAACAGGGATTTCGATGAAAATAAGCGATATTGTAGGGGAAAAACAGGGATTTCTATGAAAATATGCAATATTTTAGGGGAAAAACAGGGATTTCTATGAAAATAAGCGATATTTTAGGGTAAAAAACAGGGATTTCTAGGAAAATAAGCGATATTTAAGGTTAAAAATAGGGATTACTATGAAAATAAGCAATATTTAAGGGGAAAAACAGGGATTTCTAGGAAAATAAGCAATATTCCAGGGGAAAAAAAAGGAATGTCGATGAAAATAAGCAATATTTTAGGAGAAAAAAAGGGATTTCGATGAAAATAAGCGATATTTCAGACGAAAAACAGGAATTTCGATGAAAATAAGCGATATTTAAGGGTTCAAAATAGGGATTTCTATGAAAATAAGCGATATTTAAGGGTTCAAAAAAAAGAGATTTCTATGAAAATAAGCGATATATTAGGGTTCAAAATAGGGATTTAGATAAAAATAAGCCATATTTCAGACGAAAAACAGGGATTTCGATGAAAATAAGCGATATTGTAGGGTTCAAAACAGGGATTTCTATGAAAATAAGCGATATTTCCGGGGAAAAAACAGGGATTTCTATGAAAATCAGAGATATTTCAGGGGAAAAGCAGGGATTTCTATGAAAATAAGCGATATTTCAGGGGAAAAACAGGGATTTCGGTGAAAATAAGCGATATTTCAGGGGAAAAACAGGGATTTCTATGAAAATAAGCGATATTTTAGGGTAAAAAAAAGAGATTTCTATGAAAATAAGCGATATTTCAGGGTTAAAAACAGGGATTTCTATGAAAATAAGGGATATTTTAAGGTTAAAAAAAGAGATTTCTATGAAAATAAGCGATATTTAAGGTTAAAAACAGGGATTTCTATGAAAATCAGAGATATTTCAGGGGAAAAACAGGGATTTCGATGAAAATAAGCGATATTTAAGGGAAAAAAAAGGGAATTCGGTGAAAATAAGTGAAATTTCAGGGGAGAAACAGGGATTTCTATGAAAATAAGCAATATTTGAGGGTTAAATACAGGGATTTCTATGAAAATAAGGGATATTTTCAGGTTCAAAACTGGGATTTCCATGCAAATAAGCTATATTTCAGGGGAAAAACAGGGATTTCGATGAAATTAGCGATATTTCAGGGGAAAAAAAAGGAATGTCGATGAAAATAAGCAATATTTTAGGGGAAAAAGAGGGATTTCTATGAAAATAAGCGATATTTCAGACGAAAAACAGGGATTTCTATGAAAAAAAGCGATATTTTATGGTTCAAAATAGGGATTTCTATGAAAATAAGCGATACTGTAGGGGAAAAACAGGGATTTCTATGAAAATCAAAGATATTTCAGGGGAAAAACAGGGATTTCTAGGAAAATAAGCGATATTTCCGGGGAAAAACTGGGATTTCTATGAAAATAAGCGATATTGTAGGGGAAAAACAGGGATTTCTATGAAAATAAGCGATATATTAGGGTTCAAAATACGGATTTCGATAAAAATAAGCAATATTTCAGACGAAAAACAGGGATTTCGATGAAAATAAGCGATATATTAGGGTTCAAAACAGGGATTTCTATGAAAATAAGCGATATATCAGGGGAAAAAACAGGGATTTCTATGAAAATTAAAGATATTTCAGGGGAAAAACAGGGATTTCTAGGAAAAATAAGCGATATATCAGGGGTCAAAACAGGGATTTCTATGAAAATCAGAGATATTTTAGGGGAAAAACAGGGATTTCGATAAAAATAAGCAATATTTCAGA